TGAGTCAGTTCGAAAGAGACGGAGGAGTGAAGAAGGCAGCACACACGCGTTGGATAAAACGGTGGTGTGTAATGATGATGCTACGAGCCTGGCGTGAGGGATGGATGGATGGATGCATTGGTGCATGAGTGTAAGCAGCTGCAAAAGGGAGCAAATAGATGGACGGAGGAGGTGAATTGGCCTGCAGGGAGCTGATGCAAGCTGCGGCAGGCAGCAGTTGGAGCGAGGATAGAAGGGGCGTCTAAGTTATCAACGCGTGCACTCACATCGCCGTAATCATGCCTGAAGAGTCACAGTTGATTCCTTCTGCAGTGCTGCACTTGACTCCCACCTTCCACCCTGGTATCCCCCAAGCCGCAGTGTCGCTAAAAAACAAAGCTGACGCATTAATGAGAAGAGGGCGGCAAAAGAAAAATCACCGTGACGGATGAATGAGTAGGAGAACTACCCATCGCCACTAGATTGAGATCTCTTGAGCTGTGGACACCAATTGACAGGGGCGGCGTCGGGACTCCCGAGTGTTTTGAGTGGAATGGGGACTCCCTCCCCTCGGAGAGGGAGGAAGTGGTAGTGGTAGTACTACTCCCTCCCCCGTCCGACTCGTTCACAAGTACTAGTCTCAGGTCGCCGAAAATCAATTCATACGAGTTATCAGGAGTGCGAGGAGTTACTATAGTCACTACGACTACCTTGAGTAGAATTGATCACTTGCGCGTGGCACGACGAGATGTTGAACGCGACAAGCCAGAGGGCAATGGCGAGCACTGGAGAGGGCGCCGCAAAGAGTGCTTTCCATTCGGAAAGCCCGTGCGATGATGCTCGCTGGTGCTCCATCACAACGGCAGCCTCTTAAGGTCGCCGTACGCTGGCTCGCCGCGGTTAGTCGACTTCCGAAGTCTGAGACCGCGATCAAAGCTAGGATGGTGGCTGCTACTAGTTCTAGAGTACTACGAACGTGGCACTGGCAAACCGCAAATGTGATGACCTATGAAGAACCGCGAAAGGGCTGATTGGAAGGCGACGGGACGACGGGAAGGGAGAGACTGGACGTCGCACGCGTTGATGTCTGCTCACCCAACCTCCACTCCCCTCCCAGGCATCAAGCCATGGTTGACGCATCAGCAAGAACCAATTGACGCGTGGCATGCTATGCGTGACCAAGTGAGCGTGGAACTCTCGTCTGGCAATTTTGCGAACAAGCTGATACATCATTTTCTCGCCTGTCACTGTAACTGTATTTTGCTGACGGGGCTTAGTGAATATGGAGTCAATCGAGGTCTTTCCTCTTTGACGACCCATACCAAGCAGCTCCGAGGTTAGGTAATCCAACAGAGCTAAGCTCAATGTGGAGCTTGAGGTCATACAGTAGCTGCCACCGAGCCTCCACTTCAATTCTCCCTAGGCCTGTCAAATTCCAGGACCCGGGCTCACATTCTACCAGCTGCTAAATTTGTTCTAGATAAACCCCCTTTCGGTAGAATTTGAGAGCTTTTCATGAAAGTGAGCGACACGTGGTCCCACTCCCTGGTCGACCAGGGGCTACGAATGTACCCTAATACGAACCCTGAAATGATCCGATTTGAGAGTGCACCCATCCGGCCACAGCAGCCAAAAATACATAAAACGAACCAAGAAGTGGGCTGGATCACAATCTTTGGCATCTCGTTTTTTGCAGGGGTGGGTGAAAAATCTACCCGGATTTGAAGAGTGGGCTGGTGAAACACCCTGCAAAAATCGGCCGTACCCCGTACAGGTGACAGCCTTGTTCAACCAAACTAGCAGACGAGGTAGACGTATCCACTGGGAAGTCAATATTTGCTGACTGGGCCTTCGTGGGGTACTCGAATCCATGCTTGGTGCTCTATAACTTTAGGTCAGTCAAACCATGGCGTGGGCCCTGTCAGCATTTCCCCCGGTTCTGATCATCCGCTGCCTTGTGGGTCAGAACAACGTTATCCTCTCCCGATACCTGTAGGAATGGAAAATACCAGTATCAAACTCGAAGAGGAAGCAGCGCCGCGTACGCGGTTCTGCACGCCTATCATGCCGCGTCAGTTGAGTCTCAGATCAGATCAATTGCGGAAAGACAACTGTCCAGTCGAACGTCCACGCAGCATCACTTATTGCGCCCCTCCACGCGGCCCTCTCGTCCCTACTACGACTTCTGCAGTTGCTTTCAGACCACACTGCCTGCAGGTGTTGAGTTCTGCTTTCTACACCCCACCCTCCTCCGCTGTCAGGGTTTCTCGTCCACTTCACCTCATCCCCGTTTCACCACCCACGCCCGGTCACTACTAGCAGTAGTTAACTACCTAGTGTCTTAGTTAACTACCTAGTGTCTTAGCCGTAGTTAACTACCTACGCCGTAGGGGTAGTCGTTGTAAGACACTACTCGTACTACCACTAACCACTAGCAGCCGTTGTCGCCGCTCTCAGAACCGGCCTGAGCCAACCTCCGGCGGCAAAGTGGACTCCGCTGCAATGAAGCGAGCGTCATGGCACCAGCTTTCCGCCTTGAAGGCGCTCCCCGCCGGGCTCTCTCCAGCGTTCTCCATGGCGCTCTGGCTTGTCGCCTTTAATGTGTCGTCGTCCCACGCGCAGGGGCTCAATGCTTCTCAAGGTACCAAATCCCACCCACCCTCCTCACACCTCGCAGTGCTAGACTCAATACTTCTACTAGTGAAACTGGGAAGAGGAGGACAGTAAGCTCCGGTTGTAGTATCATTAGTAATAGCACTCCCTCCCGTCCTCCCTCCCTCCCTCCCTCGCTCCCTCCCTCCCTCGCTCCCCTCCCTCCCTCCCTGCCTCCCTCCCTCCCTCCCTCCCTCCCTCCCTCCCTCCCTCCCTCCCTCCCTCCCTCTCTCCCTCCCTCCCTCCCTCCCTCCCTCCCTCCCTCCCTCCCTCCCTCCCTCCCTCCCTCCCTCCCTCCCTCCCTCCCTCCCTCCCTCCCTCCCTCCCTCCCTCCCTCCCTCCCTCCCTCCCTCCTCTCTCCCTCCCGCTCGTCTCGCAGCCAATTTGTTCTTGTGCTAATATTTGCGATTGGTACTCATTTCATTCCGCGTCTTCTCGTTTGCCTTCTCTTCTCCTCAACGCGTCAGCCTTGTTTTTTAGCGACAGCCGGGTGGCATGGGGGACGACGTTACCAGGGTGGAAGGTGGGAGCCGACTGCAGAACTGTGTCAGGGATCATGTGTGACGCTTCAGGCATGATCACATCAATGTGAGTGCACCCGTTGCGATCATCGCACCATGCTGCCTCCCCTGGCCGACCGCGCCCATCTCTCTTTCCTTCCAGACTTGTCATTTGACGCACCAGACCATCCAAACTCCCAGGCAAAGGTTGTCGTATCAGCATGTCATTGCCCGCGTTGCTCACCAGCGTCGAAGGCGTATGTGTGCTTGCGGCTCCTCCTGGTTCTGATCACGCGCAACTCCCCCACCCTACAGCACACTACCTCTTTCCCTCGCGGGCTCCATTCCCAGCAGCATCTCCGTGCTCACAGCACTCAAAGAGCTGTAAGAGGCACACTGGGTTTGCTCCACCTGCGTGCTGCTCTGTCCACTGGGTGCTGTGCATCATATCATGCCACATGCGCACGCTGGCACTCCTCCACTTCCCATGCTCTCTGCACTCCCACTATTCCTCCTCTCCTATGCTGCTTCGCCATCCCTTTGCCACTACTTGCTTCTTGTTGTTGCGCCCAATCAACGGCCGTTTTTGAATGAGTCCAAATTTCCATCGTTTCAGCATAACTCACATGGTGTTCTTTCAGCAGTTCCAGTAACGACATTGTCACTCTTGCTTTCCTCTTGTTGATCCGAACTGACCATGCGTTCCAACCACCCTCTACAGGGATTTATCATACAATAATTTTTCTGGGCCGATTCCAGCCAGTCTTGGGAAGCTTCATCGATTGCAGTATATGTGAGCTGAGCAAATTGTTCGCGCCTGTGCCGGGGTTTCATGTTTCGTTGAACTGCTGTGCTTGGGAACAAGTGGAAGGGTGTTTGGGCGGTTTGGGGAACGTTGCGTCTGGCACTCCTCATTCACCTTCATTGTGTGCTCCATGCACTGCTGCCGTGCATTGCGGTCTTGCGGAAGTCATGCGCAATGGTGATAGGATTGATGGTGTGATAAAATGTCACGGTTGTCGTCATAAAACACGAAATCATGTTCTCATCACCCGCCTTATTCACCAACATCCAATCCAAAGCGTGTGTGTGTTTTCTTCCCCTCCTGCCAACCCAACCACACAGTGCACTTAGCTCAAACTCTCTAATGGGCTCCATTCCCAACAGCATTTCCACGCTCACGTCACTCGTATTTCTGTAAAATGCACACTGGGTTTGCTCCACCTGCATGCTGCTCTGTCCACTGGGTGCTGCATGCATGCCATGTGCGCATCACTGCTGGCACTCCTGCACTGCCCATGCTCTGGGTGGCGTCCACTTCTCCCCCCCCCTCTGTATCCCTTCGTCTCTCCCCTGCTGCACCAACCTACTGGTTATACCACATTGGATTCACGGGTTTGCTGCTCCAATACACTGTCTCTACCGAATCTTAACCTGAATATGCCTTCCAAGTTCCTACCATTTCCTGTGGAAAACAAAATGTGTTGTATTACAAAATCCGGGCCTCTCGTCTCCACGTCATGCTCAACTCAATTACCCCACACAGTGATCTTAGTACAAACTCCCTCACGGGCTCCATACCCGACAGCATCTCCGCACTCACGGCACTCGCACACCTGTAAGAGGCACACTGGGTTTGCTCCACCTGCATGCTGCTCTGTCCACTGGGTGCTGCATGCCATGTGCGCATCACTGCTGGCACTCCTGCACTCTCCATGCACTCTGCACGCCCACTCCTTCCCCCTTCTGCTGTCTGAATCCACGCTTTGATTGCACATAGCAGAACTAACATCTGCCTCGCCATACAAACTCAACTCAACTTACAGGTCGTTTTGAAGTGATTATGCCGTATGATTACCCTCTGGACAGGGGTTTGAGCTATAATCAACTCACCGGGTCACTTCCAGCCTGGCTTGGAAACCTGCCGCACTTGCAAGTTCTGTAAGCTTAGGGGGATGGGCTGTTGAAGCCATTGTGCATTGCTCTGGATCGAGTGGAAGGGAGCTGAAGCTGTATATGGGTCTGTTCTGTTGTTCTCACCTCAACACATATGAGGTTGAGGGTTCAACTCCCAACATTCGTGTTTCTCACTTCTCATACTTTTCTCACCATGACCTGTCCATACTCCACCACACACTGACGCATAGTGAGTTGTGGTCACAATTGTTATTGCCAACTGTCCATATATCCTATGCTCACCTTGTTGGCCCATGTGGTGTACCACTTGCTACCTAAGTTGGAATATACGCGTACAGCGTATATTCGCGTATCGTATATACGCTAGCGTATACACGCTATCCGCTTAGGGGTTCGGTTTGGAGAAACGCTTTTTCGGGCAGAGAAAAAACGTTCCGGGCAGGGTGAAATAAAAGTACTCCCTATTCTCACTAAGGCTTGCCCTTGCATAATCCTGAATCCGAATGACGAGTGCAATTGGAGGTGGAGTAACCATAATAGCAAGTTTGCGAAGAAGTGTGAGCTCTGGTGAAAGCGGGAACGAAATGACGAGTTAGGGTTAGCCAACAGGGCTGGCTGGTAAGTACCGTGAGATTTGTTGTTTGGGAAATTTTGACAGGTTGGAGTTTGTAGATAGAGTGGGGTTCAATGCGGTAGAAGGGATGGATTTCAATGCCTAGATGGGATCTGAAATCCAACATTTGCCTGACGACTTCGAAGTCAGATCCCCGTTTGCCTAGACTGCGGACTTGAATTTCGACTACGGCGAGATGCTCACCTAGGAAATCCGCATCTTTTTTGCGATTCTTTTTTCGGGCAGCCCTAAAAAAAATCTAAGAGCGTATAGCGTATTTGCTAGCGTATAGCGGATAGCGTATGTACGCTAGCGTACATACGCTGTACGCTTAAGGTGTTAAGCATATATTCCAACTTAGCTTGCTACCATGTAGGCTGTTGTTCCAGCCCGGCAAACATGTGGCCTCACATGCCAGCTTGCCAAGGTTGCCCTCATCCGTGAAGTGAAAATGGCTTCACTATTTCACTAGAGATCATCCTTGGATAAGGACATTTCTCTCGTCTACTAGACTTTTAGGACCTATTCTTCTTTCCATTGTGCCCTAATCTCACAAATCTGTTTTCTACATGCTGTCAAAGCTAGGCTTCTTGCTTAGTGAAGGCTGCACACGATGGCTCACGTTGAGACACCTCTTGGTCGCCATTCCATTCCCATGTGGAATTAAGTGGATCCAGTTTCATCCTGCGGAATAAAAACATCTGTTACATCTTCAATGTCTTTGGGCTCATTTCCGTTGGAGATCCCAAGGCTGTTGGACGCCCTTCTCTTTCCGCAAGAGGCCTTAAACATTTGCACGGTGAAGGACGTCGAGTCCATGGCTCTTCTATACATACAACTGCACCTACTTGATGCTGATTGAGAACGAACTCAGTCTGATAAGCCAAATATAGAAGGGTGCACACAATCTCCACGCTCAGCCCTCACACCCTCCTCTTTCCACTTCCCGCCAGTCCCCTACTTTATACTACTGAAGAGTGTCTTAGTTCGCAAGAAGAAGGGGCTTGAAGAAGCCTCAAGTCAAGACATATCAGCCAACCAGCCTTCAGTTCATGTCTCAACTATTTCCTGAGTTGAGATCATGCCGACCCCATCAACACCCACTGCAACATCAGCCCCATTGTCTGAAACCAATTCCTGCTATGCTAACATCGCATTCAGCTCAACCCTCCACTATATCCCCCCCACATGGACTCCTTTCGTCGCCATAATCTCCTTCAGTGTACTCTTCCTCTTCCCCCACTTCCTTCTCGACGCTCCGTCACGGAGACGTTGATGAATGGTGTTATTTTTGTTTTGGTGTCAAAGATACTACAAGGTCTTGTGACTGGGCAGGCTGGTGGCTATTTTTCGCTCACAAACATCAGTGACCACCATCTAGCTGGACAATGTTACTACAGGGATGTTGAGGTGTTAGGCATAGATAGCCACACTCCCCAATTACCCTCATAATGTGCTCCGTGCACTGCTGCCGTGCCTAGGATTGATAAGGCAAACCTTTCTGGTTATTGCATGTTGGATATTGACCAGACCGACCAAGGAGCATGCGGGGAGGGGTGTCACTGTCACCAGCCGTTAGTATGGCCACAAGCTCTGTGTTGTGTCACGTGGTCTGTTGCCCGGCGATACTAGAGTGCCGTGGCTAGCTATGCCGACACATGGATGTACTGCAGTTCTAGAAAGGGCACTGCAGAAGCCATGCTGAATGATAAAGTCACGAGTGTCTCCAAAATCTACGGTGACAGCCTGGCTCACAGGCCCTATTCCACCACCTGGACCATTTAGAAGGGGTCAATCTTTGGTAGTAAGTCTCCAAGGACGATTGGTATATTCTTGTGCTTTGAATCCGAACAGGTTCAGTTTTTTTTTCCCAACTCACAGAAGCTATCCAAACAAGAAATCTTCGCTGAATCTGGATCTTGACAGCTCTGGTAGTGTACATATGGACTTGGGTGCATACAACCGTATGCACACAAGGTGCTTCTCATACCAGAGGCACATGGCATTGTCACGTGCATGCTTTTTGCGTTGTTGATTCGACCCACTTCCCTTGCAGATATACCGATGGCACCAACCTCACTTGTCCTGCTAACACCCGCAGCTGCAGCCAAACCCATTACGCCCTTCTGCCAAATACGTCCTTCTGTCAATATTGTGCTTCCTTCTGTTTTGCATGCCGGCAGTCAACAGGTGATGTGCTTAGTTGTTTCAGATGGCCCCCACTTCTGACATTCTTGTGTTGTTTTCCTCAAATGACATGATGTCTCTCTTCTCAAGCTAAATGCCATCTCTTTGCTTACTATATATGCTTGTGTTGTTGTGATCTGCATTGGTCTGTGTTCATGCAGGACCAACATCTAGCAACAGAAGCAGCAACAGCAACAGCAGCAGCAGCAGCAATAACAGCAGCAGCAGCCGCAGCAGCAGCAGCAACAGTAGCAGCAGTAGTGGCAGTGATTCTTCTTCTCCAGCAGCATCTGGAGGTGGAGGGGGTGTACCAGTGGGAGCCATCGTTGGCATTGCTGTTGCCGCTGTGGTAGTTCTCCTCCTGCTTCTGGCTGCCGTACTGCTTTGCTTCAGGCAACAAACGAAGCGAAATTTGAAAGGTAAGAGGACCACCATTGTTTTGCTGATTTGCTGCACACGTCTTCCTGAAATCTTGCTTCATTAATATTGTTCCTGCTTTCTTTGTCTTGTTTTGAGCCCGGGTCGTGGTACTAAGAGCTCTTGGAACGACTCTTCATCCTTCACCCTTTCCCCCCCACCCCACGACCAGGCATGGGCACCAGCCTGGCAGCGTCACACTGCACGGAGTTCTCCCTGGACGAGGTGCTCAAGGCCACCAACGACTGGTCGCAGGACAACCTGCTTGGCTCGGGTGCCTTTGGTGATGTCTACAAGGGCGTCTCTCCCCGCGATGGCACAACAGAGTGGGCTGTCAAGCGTGCCAAGCTCATAGACATGGACTTCCAGAGGGAGGTGAGCGAGCCGCATATGGGGAGATGGCTTGACTGCAGGGTCTATTGACACGTTGGGTGGTTTACTTCTCTGTTACTTCCAAGCAAGACGAAAAGCAACCTCGAGTAGGTGACTACATGTTGTGCTCCGTAATGTACAGCTTCTTCCCTATCTGCTCTGATTTCTCTTCTCTATTTCTCCTTTTCTCCTCTCACTCTGCTCCGCTGTCTTCTCTCTCTCTGCTCCTCTGCCTCTTCTTCGGCATCTACTCTTTTTGCTTGTTCTGTTCCTGTGTGCTCGTTCTCCCTCACTTCAGATCCAGCAAATGGCAGACAAGAACCATCCCAACATTGTGCGACTGTTAGGGTTTGCAGTTGGAGGGGACGTCAGGTCTAAAATCGAGCAGGTCTTGATCTACGAGTTTGTGCCCAACGGTGACCTCGACAGGTGGATAGGACCAAGTACGTGTGCAGGTCATCATATCGCACTCACTCATGAGCCATACAAGGCCACTCATACTAAACCACTCATACCATGCCACTCATTCTAGACCACTCACTTCAGGCCTCTCATTCTAGACCACTCACTTCAGGCCCCTCATTCTAGACCACTCGCTTCAGGCCCCTCATGCTGTGTAATGCTTGTTGTGAAGCTCATCCCGTGGCTCTGACATTGTTGCAGAAGCACCTGCTCCTCTGGATCTGAAGCAGCGGCTGGACATTCTCATCGGCATTGCACGTGGCTTTGAGTATCTCCACAGCTTCGGAGTTGTGCATCGCGACATCAAACCCGCCAACATCCTCATCACCTCCGACATGCAGGCAAGCGCAGTTGCACAAGGACACACTGTAAAACCATACGATACTGTAGAGAAGCAGTCAGAATTAGAGCTACAAGTATCACGATGGAAACACAAGGGTCTTGCCAGAAGAAAGTGCATTTTTACTTCATTGTCTTGCACTTTGTCAGTCACGTGTGTCTGACTTCTTTAAACGCACTGCTGGTCCACCATTAGATGTGGTATTTCTCTTCTCCATCACCCTTTCCCATGTTTTTGCCGCATTCATGGTATCATAACATCTATTCAATGACCAGCCCAAGATTGCAGACTTTGGGTTGGTGAGGGCGGGAGAGGGCACGACAGTGGGCACGACTCGCATCATGGGAACACCGGGCTATGTGGATCCGGTCTACTCCAGAACGTCCAAGGCCACTGCAGCCAGCGATGTCTACAGGTGAGCCACGAGTCATATTCAGACCAGAAGACCAACCTCCGCGCTTGGCTAGTTGGCCAACCCATCCAACCTGGTTGAAAGAACACCCAGAATCATTCTCCTGCGTGTGTAATATATCTTCCTTGTTTTTGAGCTGGTGACCCATTCTCTGTGGCATGCTATCATCATTTATAATTCTCATTTCGCCTTTGCGCTGCTTTCACCATCGCTCCCACGTTGCAGCTTCGCTGTGCTCATGCTTGTAGTGGTCACTGGTCGCCCTCCACTCTCTGAAGATGCTGGGGACACCAAGCAGATCATGCCATGGGTACGTTCCCTGTGGACAGCTTGTGTGCTGTTGACGTGATTATATTTTCCCTATCAAATTGATAAAATCTGCATGTATGGCTGACTAACCTGCGCTTGACTTCTTTGCACTGCTGTTGCCATTTATTACATTTTTCCACTCCATTAGGCATCCGAGTGCCTGTCCTCGGGCGACATAGGGAGCCTCAAGCACCCCACCATGGACGCCCCCGGGGATGTGTTGCTGCGCTTAACTGAGCTGGCAGTCAGTTGCACCGTGGAGCGCACTGCAAGCCGCCCAACCATGGCGCACATTGCCGACGAGCTGCAAGCTGTCAGGGAGGAGGTGGCGGGTAAAGATGAGCTTAGCGCTGCCGTTAAGGTGGATGAGCAGGTCCAGGAGATGAAAGATGCTTTTGGGGGAGTGGATCTCGAGGCACAACTCCAGTTGATTGGGGAAGATGGCAGCTTCATCACTCAACACCCAGTCTAGAATCGTGATGGGGATGCCATGGACAAGGTCTCCGTGATCCGACCAATCGGTCTGATCGTCTGATTTTGAGACCTAGTTTTAGCGTTTCGTCTGATTTGCTACACAAGCTTTTCATTTTCATATGAAAGCTTAGACTTGTATTTTATATTCGTCTGAGTTTTAAGATCTGATGGTGTATTTTTCTGTCTGAATTTTCAGACAACGCATTGTCCCAGAATTTTCAAGTTTCAAATATGCGCAGAATACACTACGCATGCGGTATTGTGCTTTTAGTTAATTATAGTGTTTTATGACAAGTTGACCTTCCATAGAAACAACAAACTAGAGTGCCAACCAATGCTTTTTTGCGTCAGTCAGCGTAACTCCTGCGCAGCATAGCCTCAGTGTAGATCTCGGCCTCACTGCTGGAGCAGGGTCTATGATAGTGTTTTGGCCCGTCTGAGCCAGGGCTCAAAATTGGTTTAGGCCTACCCTTACAAATCAGGGTTCCAGTCCCTCCTTAACCAGAACCCTAGGGTAAATTTTTTCGTACCCTGTTTGCAGCAGGGTAAACCAACCAGTAGCCTGATTTGAGCAGGGTAGTTTTAGGCTAACTCTTATTCGGGTGCTGTTTTGTGAGCTAAGGTATTTATAATGACATAATAAAGGAGCACACACTAAGTCAATGTAGTCTTGGTGAGCATCACATTCACAACACACCTACTCAGTGCCACCCCCACTGCCTACATCTTCTACAAACCGGGTCTGCGAAGCCCTGGTGGCAGTCTGAGTGAGCATCACATTCAAGGGTTTGTTGGCAGTCCTGCGGGAGAAACAACCAATGAGGCGACATGGCGTGTCGCCGACAACGAAGCAGGGGTTTATGCATGTGGTCACTGTTGGAAACAATCGGTCCTAAGCGCCTCTGTCGTGTCGAAACACTAAAGACACAAGTGAAGCATCGCATATCGATGCACCAGCGAGTCAACCCTCGGAAGTTGAAGCAACAGCTGGAGGTTACGCGAAGGTCAAAGGTCAGCGACCTTTGACTTGACAAATGAAGCGCGACAGCAAGGACACACAACAGACTCGATATTAAGCAGTTGCCCGAGTCGCACTGTATCGAACCGCAACAGCCAACAGCAAAACAGTTATCATTCGTATCTCTTCGTATTCCTTGTAATCATATATAAGATCTTGTATCTCCTTGTTTTAATTAACTTACTTTGCCCTCACATACTAGCGCAAGGTGGTTCAGAATCTCTTTGTTAACGCTTCCGCTACTACATCATTCTACCCAGAGATCAACCCCACCAAAGATCCTAAGGGGCAATTAGCCCAACAGTCACAAGCGACAACGCTGGTTTGTGGGGGTGTGGTACAGTTTGTCACCACGCGGAGTATGGCCTGATCTGCGCTTCAGAAGTTTCGATATCAGGGTAGTCTACACCCTACCCTGACACCGTCAGGCTAACCAAAAATCGCATCAGTGTTAAAAATACATGCTCTTTTTAGAGAAGGGTAACTAAAGTGGAATACTGATTTCGGTAGGGTAATCCTGAAAAAGCAGCCGGCCCCCAGGGTAATCAGGGCGTTTTACCCTGATATTTTGGGTTTTTGTTTGAGCGATTGACGAGATATTTATAGGTGTATGATTTTTCAGACGAATATAACCTTCAAGTCTGTAATTTCGGACGAGAACATTAAGTGCCCGACCATCTCGGTACGGACTACCATTCAGTGAGGATTTCCAACCACGTGTTCGCATGTTAGTCAAAATCAAATAAATTTGTTCGCGCTAGATTAAACCTCAGATGAAGTGCACGTATAGAAAGATCACAGTAAAAGCAAGGTCAAGAAGTGAGCAAGTGAGGCCAAGTAGGCACAAGACCTAGCATCGTACAGAAGCGCTGATGATCACCAGGCGGAAGTGCCTTGGTAAAGATAGCAGCAGTGTTGGCCTCAGAGGCCACGTAAGCAAGGCGCAGCTCACCACGCAGCAACAGCTCATGAGCAAGGAAGTAGCGAAGAGCAATGTGCTTCGTTCTGTGCTCCAGTCTGTGCTCCCAACACAAGGCCAGCATGGCCTTGTTGTCTACGTACAGAACTGGAGGAGAACGAGGCGGCTCTCCTAGGTCAGTCAGCAGGTAGGTGAGCCAGCGTAACTCCTGTGCAGCCATGGCCCCCGCGTAGATCTCAGCCTCACAGCTGGAGCCGAGAACAGAGGACGAGCGGGTAGACCGCCACGAAACAGAGCCGGAGCCAAGGCTGAAGGTGTAACCCTGTGACGACCGCTGCGTAGCCTGGTCGTCAGCCCAAGAAGCGTTTGCGTGACCTGTGAGGACCACTCGACGTCGCCCTCCAAGCACTAGCCCCAAGCCCGACGTACTGCACAAGTAGCGCAACACCCTCTTCGGTGCAGCCATGTGCTATGGTCGGTGTCTACCAGGAGCAACATAACGTGCCAAGATGCTAAGAGGGTATGCAAGGTCAGGTCGTGTGCAGGTCATCAGGTACATGAGGCAGCCAACAAGCTCTGGGTACGGGCCACTCGCCTCTACGGACTCATCCGAAGGCAGAGCTGAGAGCGAGTGGCGAGTAGACAGAGGAGTGGCCTGAGGCGAGGAGCACGTGAAGTCGAAGCGCTGAAGGACCTGCTGCACCATGTGTGACTGAGTCAGGGTAATGGTGCGCTGTGCTCTATCCCGGGTGATCTGCAAGCCAAGGTAGCTGCGCAGTTCACCCAGGTCTGTGCACGTGTGTCTCTTCTGCAGCTCGGACTTCGCGTGGGCGAGTCCAGCAGTGTCAGCTGTGGCAAAGACCAAGTCGTCGACGTACACGAGGATGTAGAACAGCGGCAGAGAGGTGTCGGTGCGCAGGAACAGTGACGGGTCGGTTGTAGAAGGAGCAAACCCAAGAGCCGCAAGTGTAGTCCTCAGTGTGTCATGCCACTCCAGGGCACCTGGCGGAGACCGTAGACTGGCCGCCGGAGGCTCCACTGGGTACCAGGAGCAAACGTCCCAGTGAAGCCAGGTGGGCGGCGCAGCCAGATCTCCTCGTGAAGGCTACCCTGCAGGAAAGCTGTGCTAAAGTCAAGAGAGTGAAGCTCGTAGTCTCGATGAGCGGCTACGTGCAGCAGCACCCGAAGAGTGGTCATCTTCGGGGTGGGAGAGAAGGTGTGAAAGTAGTCAACTCCCTGCCGCTGATTGAAGCCTCGAGCCACGTAACGCGCCTTGAAGACAGGCGGAGAAACCGGCGGCCGCTTCACCCTGAAAATCCACATGCCACTGACGATGTTCGCCCCAGGTGGGGGAACCTCGTCGACGTAGGTGCCTGTGGACTTCCAGGAAGCCATCTCTGCGTCCATGGCTGACTGCCACTGAGAGGAGTAGGGACCCTCGATCGCCTCAGCGTACGATCGAGGAGTCGGGATGTCTGGTGCATCCGGGTCTCCCTCAGGGACAATCAGCGTGGACACGAGATGAGGCAAAGCAGCAGCAAAACACTGGAACTCCTCCTGCCTATCCTCAAGGACGTCCGTGCTAAGAGCACACTCACCCCCGACGGACGGAGGACAGACAGACTCAGACTCAGCAACAAGACTAGCGGCGTAGTCTAGACGACAGCGAGCAGCAAAGTCGAAAAGCTCAGCAACTAGGGCCAACGCAGTAGTGGACTCAAAGGAAGGGTCAGTGACAACAGTAGCCAGGAGACGCGTGACAGTAGGACTGGCAGTACGCAGAGAGTCAGAGTCCGGGTCACGAAGAATTGGAAGAGAGGACTCTGGAGGAGACGGCAACGGGACACGCAGAGGAGCAGTGGAAGGACGTAGTGCCATCTGGTGTGTGCCTGGGACTGCAGGAGGACGCGGACGCGGAGCACGACCACTAGTGCGAGCAGCACAAACAGGCGACACAGGACGAGACGCAGGCTCACGACGCTCAGCAAGACCTCCAGTAGGACCAGTGTAGGGAGAATTCGAATATGAGATGAGATAGAATATGAATTTTGAAAAATCAGTTTTTTTTTTGTGCTTGCCATGGCAATTAGATGGAAGCAAAAAAACAGGCCTGTAAATCATACCATCATACTGAATTTGTTTGATAACGAAGACCCCGAGCTTGAGCTAAGCACAGAAGACGAGCGAGTGGACCTCCACGAGACAGAGACAGTGCCGAGAATGAAAGTGTAGCCCTCTGAAGACTGGGAAGTTGCTTGATCGCCGGCCCACGAAGCGTCTGAGTGCCTTGTGAGCAAAACTAAGCCCCGTCCCCCAAGCACCAGCCCCAAGCCTGATGCACTAGCCAATTAGGGCAACACCCCCATAGCAGCGTGCCAGTGCTCAGGGCGGTGTCTCCCGGGCGCGATGTAGTGCACCAGGATGCTGAGAGTGCACGCGAGGTTGGCCAGATGCACGTTATAAAGTACATATGATAGCCCACAAGCACTGGATACGGACCACTCGGCTCTACGGACTCGTCCGAATGTGGAGCTGAGAGCGAGTGGCCCGTAGGCAGAGGAGTGGGCTCTGGCGAGGAGAACTGAAAGCAGAAGCGCTGAAGAACTTGCTGCACCAAGTGTGACTGAGTCAGTGTGATGGTGCGCGCTGCTCTGTCCCGGGTGATCTGCAAGCCAAGAAAGCTATATAGCTCACCCAGGTCAGTGCAGGTGTGTATCTTTTGCAACTTTGCCTACAAGGGCCACTGCCTCACTATCAGCAGTCGCAAAGACCGAGTCGTCGACGCACACGAGGTGTATGTTCATCTGATAGGCTGTAGTGATGTTAGCTATAGGGGTACAACCCTTTTAGGTTTGTACTTGTACTCTCTCTCTCACTAGTCATTCCTCAACTTCGTCATTCACATTTTAACATGGTTTCAGAGGAAGACCGTTTTTTTTAAGGGCCCACCGTTCGTTCTGCCCGTTAGTTTCTCCCTTGCCCTAGCGATCGTGACCCGCCTGCCCGTTAGGAATGCCTGCCCCCCAATCCTCCCCCCCCACCCCCTTACTCGCTATCGCCC